TCATCAGGAGATGGACAGTGCAAAGGCTTTTGCAAAAGACACAGCATCTGTCTTTTGGGCAAATTTATGACTCTCAAGTTACAGCTCAGGCCTCAAAATGCAGCTCTAAAGCAGGGAAATCAGAGGAAACACGGATGGGAGAGTGAGCAAGTTGTCACTTCACTGCTCCATCAGTTGGGTTGAGGACAGAACCCGTGAGAAACCAGGATGTTGTCTCGGAAAAGACTAAAAAAAACCCCTAGAAGCTGTAAATACATGGATTTAAACATTCAAGTGCTGTCTTTTAGCCTGGTGTTTTTGACATCTGCCTGAGTTGTGCCCAGCTGGTACAGGAGTAACGTAAGCATATAAAGAAAGTAATACTCGTTCTGGAAATAGTAATCTCCCTTCTCCTTGTAAATGTCACAGCTCGTCTTCATGACACTTTCCGTTTCATAAATGTGTTTCTTCAGTTCTTCCTCCTGAAAAGAATAAATTCGTTAGAGGAGTCATTGTGTCAGGGGACACTGAATACCCTGTTGCTCCCGATAAGGCCTGGATGTCCGTAGCTGCCTGCCACCTGACACACACCACCCATTTTTAGTTGCACTAGAAAGTCTTCTGTCTGAAACCTCTAAACTGCCTGGCTGTGATAAATGCCCACCTTCAATCACCCTCCTCACTTCGGGTATTTGTCTTTATCTGAGACAACAACTGTAAGCCTTTACGTTTGCAGGAGGGCAGTCAGTGCTCCTAGGGAGCCCTGAGGAGCGCAGGGCTCGCAGTAATGTCAGCTCCATCCCTGTGCCTGGCATCTCTGTCTATCCACGTTAATTTGCTTCAAATTCCAGACTGTGAATGCTCTGTTGATGCATTTTTCCATACAGGAATCAGTCTGGCCTTGTGGTATTTGTTGGGTTTGTAGGTGTGGGTGTTTGCTCTAGGCCTGGAGCAGGGATATTCCCTGTGCAGCCAGAACCAGCCATGTGGTCGCATTCCTGACCCCCTTGGCGTGTTATGTGCAGTGTGACAGCACCCACCCCTCTCCTGCAGCAGGCGACTGGAGAAGCACTTTTGCAGCACTCCTTCAGTAGGTCCTCGTAGCCTTTACCAATTCTTAACAGCATCTGAGCAGAAAACTCGGGGTGTCTCCTGGAATATTCGTACAGAAACCTGCAATATGTGAAGTACCAGGAATTAGAGAGAAGCCAAACAGCTGCCCTGGAGAGGCTGGGGATGGTAAGGACAGGAGGGGCACTCGCACTTAAACAAGTGGTTTTGAATTCCTACCTAAGAGTGGATCAAAGCAGTGCTTTGGACCTGAGGTCAGCAGTGACAGTATCACAGAATCACAGAATCGCTCGGTTGGAAAAGCCCTCTGAGATCATCACGTCCAACCGTTCCTGTCTACCCACTAAACCATATCCTTAAGTACCTCATCTACCCGCTCTTTAAACACATCCAGGGATGGTGACTCCACCACCTCCCTGGGCAGCCTGTGCCAGCTTCTGACGACCCTCTCAGTAAAGAACTTCCTCCTTATCTCTGACCTGAACCTCCCTTGGCACAGCTTGGTGCCGTTTCCCCTTGTTCTATCCCCCATCACCTGGGAGAAGAGACCAGCACCCACCTCTCTACAAGCTCCCTTGAGGCAGTTGTAGGTGGTGATGAGGTCTCCCCTCAGCCTTCTCTTCTCCGGGCTAAACAAGCCCAGTTCCCTCAGCCGCTCCTCATCAGGCTTGTTCTCCAGAGCCCTCCCCATCCTTGTGGCTCTTCTCTGAACACGCTCCAGAATCTCAACATCCTTCTTAGAGTGAGGGGCCCAGAACTGAACCAGTACCTAAATTTCACATGTTTTTTTTTCAACTTTGCCTCTGAAATAACAGCTGTGCCTGTTCTGCATTTGTTCCTGCTCCACACCTTCGTAGGGCTGAGGGGAATTTTACAAAGAGCAGCTTGCACAGTGTCACATCCCTGTGTGCTCACAGAGCAGATGAATCTGAGGCTGATGATCAGTCCAAATTGTCACCTTTCACCAAGCAGAGAAACAGCAAAATCGAAGAGCAGAGGCAGAGCCCCGTTACCTGGCTAAGTGCTGATCTTTCTCCTGGGCAAAGCGTTCACATATTCCTTTGTCTTCTATAAACTCCCTGACGTGGGGGGACAAGTCTGCAGGTCTGTCGTCATTCTCTGCATTCACTATGCATTCACTTCTTTGTAACAGAGGCTTTTCACAGCACTTCTTGATTTTACTTGATATGCTGGCTTGGTTGGTGCAGACGTAGTGTAGGATCTCTTCCTGCAAAGCAAACAGTGAAAAGGAATTAAGGAAACTTAGCCAGATTTTGGGTTGGGCTGCTGGTGGCTTTTTTTTTGTTTTGGTGGGTTTTTTTAGTGTTTGCATCTCCATTTTAATGCGAAAATTACTCCCAAAGTGAAGAGGTGTCTGAAAACATAAAACAAATGCATGCAGTTTCTGCAAACACACAAGTGTTAAATGAGTTTTACCCTATTGTGCATGCAGTCCAGCATGTCTCCACGACAGCAGGCCTCGTGCATGGCAGCAACAGCCGTCACTAGCTTGTGAACCGTACCAAAGTCAGCTTTGGGGAATTTTTGGCTTATCTGAACAAGTTTCCTGCAACGAAGAAAAATAGGTGTTGAGACCTCTAAGGATCCTAGGTAAATCTCTGTGTGAGACGATGAGCAGCAGTGTGGTGGGTGAACAGGGAATGACAGGAGCAACCTTGTGTCAAAACTGGGTGAGACATGGGTTGTATTTTGCTCACAATCACTGTAACTGCCATCACAGAGATGCGCTCATTTCAAAATCTGGGTTTACATTTTGACAGCTAATGGCAGTTTGTAAGGGAGCAGTGACTGCTGTCACACATAAATGTGTATTCCTAATCTGTATTCCTTCTTGGGTGCTACGAGTGACCCTCTTCCAAAGACGACAGGGCTGGTACGCAGGGTGACTGCAGTGTGCGCAGGTGTGGAGCCACCCTCGGCTCACACCCAACATCCAGGCTGTGCCCACTCACAGAGCCTTTATGGTCCTTTCCCCAAACTTCTTCAGGATCCCACAGGTGTGTTCCTGCCTCAGGCCATCTTCTTTTATCGGCTTTACCACCTTTGGTGCCTGAAAGAGGATGCAGACCGTGCAAGTGGAAGAAGAGGCATCACTTTAAGGTAAAGCTACTGCGGTGACTTCTTTTTTAAACAGGAGTTTTTCAATATTGAATTAAAATTGCTGCCCAAGCTGCACGATGAACTAGCTGTGGTGCTTGCTATTCACACCAGCACTTAAGTGTTCTGTGAAAAGAAACCAGAACCCTTTTAGATGGGAGTTCACTGGTTTTGGCATAGGGGAAGAAATCATCACCTGGGAGCTACATGACTGGCTCTGCATTACCAAGGAGAATTCTAATATCAGGCTGAGACACTGCAGAAGAAAAGGCTGATCCCTCTGCTCTGGGATCTGTTCGGCTGTAGGAAAGCCCCTGGGTGCACACGATTAACCTAAGCCCCGGCGGTGCGTACCTGTCTGCGAAAGCATTCCTCCAGGTCACGAGCGGGGTCTTCAGCACGTCCGCAGCAGTTCCTCATCATCTCGTCGTAACGGAGAGCCACAGAGAGGATCGTTGGGGCGTAGAGGAAGGGATGTCTTCTGGATACCTCATAGATAAAGCTGGAACAGAGAAACACGTCTTGTTCCAGACTGAGCCCTTGCATGCAGGGGGCAGCAGTGTTATGGCAGCATCTGCCGCTACATTAAAACAACAGCTACTAAAAGCAGTTGTCTTCCTGTCATAAGGACAAGCTCTGCAGTGTGGTATTTATCTTGGAAAAATCCTGATGGGGCTGATGTTTCCCTGGAAATTCAAGTCTCAAATGCTGCCAGTTCTGGCTTAGAGGCAGCAAAACCTCTGCGTGGCTTTTAGGGGCTCAAGAGAGGCCCTTGGTTTCAGGTGGGGCCTTGACACAGGCTGCAGGGAAATGGGCCACGTTGTCATTTGGACCTGTGTCCAGAGCAGGAGGTGGCAGAACAGGCTTCACATAATGACAATTACAGCCAGATTAATTACAACTGATTCACATTAGGGAGAAAAACAAATTTGAGCTTACAGAGAATTTTTTACTGCAGTTTTCGGTTGATGCTGCACTTGCTGTCTCTAGGCTCATAGCTGCCATACCTAGGCAACAGATTTATGACTTATTTACTTACTATCCTGTCAGTGAATCTTGATGCTGTGAATGGTTTTTGCAGGCAGCTTCAGCGTTTGGCCTTTCAAAAGGAGAAATGAGCCCTCTTGATGAATTTTTAAGGGAGAGGAAGCAGTCGTTTCTTTCAGGATCCTCTTTAGCACAGCAGTCAGTAAACGTGGGAAGGTTTTCCTCCTGGCATATTGTATCGAGGAAAATCCTGTGCTGTGAGGAATTAGAATAAAGTTAATGGGTGCCAGGATCCCATTCCACTCCTGTGAGGAGGCTGCTGTAAGCCAACAAGCCCCGACCTGCATAAGCTCACTGCTGTGTACTCTATTACCTGCTGCTTTGACTGGGGTGAGTATCAGAATGACCCCCAAAACCCATAAATGATGATTTCTCTAACTTCGATACCCGCTCTCATGCCAAGACAGACTTCAAAGTGGAATAATTTTCAGGCACTCTGAATTTATAGCAGTTTTCAGGCCCGATTTGTATACTGCAGTTTGCAGCATAGCAGGATCCGTGCTTTGCTAATTACAGTCAGGTTTGCACGATGAAAAATGTCTTGTTTCTTGTTCATGAAGTAGCAGTGCCCAGGTTCAGCTGGGAGCTGTTTTAATTCAGGGTTTGTTTCAGTGTGTTGAACAAATCAGAAATGAGTCGTAACACAGACTGACGTTCACCTTTCAAAAGTGCTGGAGCAGACACTGCCAAAACCAGGAACGGGAGTTACTGGAGTGGAGCAAATGCCTGTAAACATCTTATTTGCTATAAATACCTAATCTGGCTTCTCCTGAATTTAGTTACAGACATCTAATTTGGCTTCTCCTGAACTTTGCCACACCAGCTGTAAAAGCACAACTTTCTGAACATCTTTTAGAAAGACACAGGTCAGAGATTTCAAAAGACGCTGTGATATTTGGGGTGAGGAGAGGGCTTTCATTTTCCTCTACTTTTCAGGAGATGCTTTCCAGATGGGAGCCTGGAGAATGAGAGTCAGTAAGGCCAACATGCGTACACAAGAAGTCACATCTCTTCGTGATGTCCTCATTTCTCTTTGGAAAAACACATACTAGGGCTGGGAAAATACACGTCCCTTCTGAAGAGCTTGCCACCCTAGCAGCATAAAGGCACTTACCAGCGGCTTCAGGCAGTCGGGGCTGGCGCTGTCGGCAGCAGCGCAGCTTTTGGCGAGGGCGGTGACGTCCTCAGCCATTTTCACTGCTCTCCCAAACGTGCCTCCCTGCACATACTGAGCAAACATGATCACGGCCCTGCGAGAAGAACACACAGCACTGAACCTGTTACTGGCTACCTGAAAACCAATGCTATCACCTCTACGTGTGAGGCAGTAAGGGGACACAGATCACCCCCGGCTGGGCTCGTGTGGGCTGGCAGAACGGGAGCGTGTTCATTTCCAAACACGCTGGGATGTTCAGTGCCAGCGGCTCTGCAAGTAGACGCCTTACCCGGACAACTTACATGGCTTTAAAATTATTCTCTTGCAGCTGAGAAAAACGTTGGCCAATGCTGTTTCTTCCCTCTGAAATACAAGAAGTTTCAATAAAGAATATTTAATAACTACCTGATCAATCGCCATCTTTTTTCAGTACTGGAGTCTTAGAAATAATTCAGTGCCTGGGGTACTCGCACTGGGGGTAGGAAGACATGAGCCTGAACTTCCTATTTGACTTAAAATTTCATTTCCTTGCCTAGCTCAAGGGTGGGGGAGGAATATGCTAAAACCTGGAGCACGACCGGCTACTTTGATGCTGCACCTCACGTGATTAAGTAAGCACCGTACAAAACACATTGAACCTTGTCTTGGCTGTTTAAGGCTGTGCTTGACCACTCCTCAGCCACAGATGAAGGATTTTCTAGGCAGAAAGCGTGGGATACATTGAGGACTACATTGATAGGCCTTAAAAATTCACAACCCTAAATGCAGTAATTCCTGGAGTTCCTTCTTTGTCAGAGAATACTCTGAGAGATTAATTTTAACATGAGGGGCCTGTTCCCAAATCAAGATGTTACTGTCTCATACTTGTGTTGCTAGGGCTGAGATCAGTATGGAAAGGCCAAGCAAATCAAAGAAATAAAAGAAATAAGGCAGCTCCTCCCTCTGAGTTAACTGAGGTGATAACTTGAGAGAAACAACACAAACACTGGTTTTGTTTTACACCGTTGGGCCACTGAGTGCATTTGGAAGTCCTGAAGATTTAAAACCAGTTGGCTAATGATAAAACTATGTAATGTGAAAGACGCATCTGAACTGCAGTGTCCCAAAGATACTGAGATAGCAAAGGACAGCACAGAGCTACAGCATAACAGCAACTCTGGACAGCCAGCTGGACACAGCATCCTCACACACCGCATGTCATGCACCTCACAGGGTTAGATAAGCAGGGTGCAAACCACCTTTTGACCTTGTCTCAGCTCTCCCTCTTGTCACTCCTCTGTCTTGCTTCCTCATGGGCTATGCAGAGAGGCTGAACAACCACAATCCACCTCAGCAGTTTTCAAAGTACCTGGAAATCAGTGGCGTTACCCATCCCTGTGGGTTAAGTTCCCTTCCTCTCAGCAATCGCTGTCTGTCCTGCACACTACACAGATCCCCATGCCATTAAGAAGCAACGTGTCTAAGGCTGATCACAAAACACCATATACAGCTACCGTTTTGTTGTATACCTTTGACCCATCAGAAAATACCCATGTAGAATGGGCAGTGGCAAAATGCAGTACAAAACAACCACGCATGCTAAGTGGCAGCCATCGGTATTATATGTAAGAACAGAGGAAAGATAGCAGATATATTCTTACCTATTTCCTGATAACTTCTAGGCAGGGCCTTGACTACAGCAAGGCTCACCAATAAAATAACGTAAATTGTTGTTCTCCACTTCATACTGTCGGATTTTGGCAGGGGCCTGGGGTGGGCCTGGTTCAGCTGTGAAAGGCAGAAAGAATTAAGGGGCAAGAGTTAGCTTTATACTCTCCCAAACAGTTTCTGGTTAATCAAAACCCTTTTAGTGTCACATATAACAGTGGCCCTTTTGGAAATATTCCCACAATAATTAGACATGCCATTATTTGCTCAGCATGCTGAGCTGACCAGCTTCTTGCGAAGAAAGGACCTTGTGAATATTTCTTTCCTGAAATCTGGACAAACAGACATTTTGGACTTATCACACTCCAAACAAGAAGTTTAAACACTCCCTGGGCTTTTTATCATGCACACTGATCGCATCGCCTTACAGATTTGTTCAAAGGTGATGGCTGTGCAGAGGATGCCTTCATAAAACATTGCTGACCGAAAAATCCCACGTTCACCTGCTAACCTGATATGTTCCACCCCTCCTTGCTGAACAAGCTGTCTCTTGCTCCCAGCTTCCGAGGTGTCGTGGTGAAAAGGCTGAACTAATTCTCCTCTACAGTATATTTGCAGCATTAACAACTAACATCAAAACACCTCCACATTTTGAAACAAAATCAACTCCAAAACTGTAGAATGAAGGGAAAGATTCCAGTTGATACATTTATTTTAATGACTGTTTGAAAAGCAAGCTATAAGCATCAGCATGATAAAAATGACACATTTTTGGAGCTAGGATGGGAGCGTGGTCAGCAGAGCAGGAGATCTGACATGTGTTGAGGGGGACACAAATAAGCTCTAGCACGCTGTTAACTAAAAAGCCCTGTAGGAAAGAGAAATCCACTTGAAGGAAAGGGGTGTCTGGTCTGGAGGTTAAAATACAGGTGGTGATGGTGGTGTACTTGAGGTAGGGCTGCAGGAACAGCTAAGCCACTGATGCTGGAGACTTTGAATAGTGGGTTCTTCTTTGTCCCAGAATAGCGTGTTTTGGGTGCAATGTGTTGCCTTAAACATTTCTGGAAGTTGCTTTTAGCTGCTGCATTTAAAATCCTTTAAATTAAATGTCTCCACTGCCCTTTCCCATGCTCAGCAGGATGGTTTAGTACTTTTTTATTCTAATTTCAGGGGGGGAAATGTATGTATAGTATTTAACTGGAAGACCAGAGTGTGGCATACACTAGAAATGGGTTCCAATGAAAAGCTTAGGTCCCAATTAAGAGTTCTCCTTGTCCTTCAGAGTACAGAAACCATGGTTACTGTTTGATGCCTCGTCAGGACCCAGCTGTTTCCAGACCTCAGCGACTGTCCTGCAAGGTCAATAGAGCTAAAAGCAGCTGATTGCCCTGCAACTGTGGAGCTGAGAATTGGCATCAGCTGGGGATGCTCAGTGCACTCCTGAAATACCCGGACAGTTGCTCCTGTGGAGCCCTTTTGCTCTGGGTGTTGTACAGCAGAGAGGTGAGTTAATTGTACTGGCTATTTCTGTTTGATTATGCTCATCAACTTCAGGGGAAGGTTTCTGTGTTTCAAACTGATGTATGTTCATTATAGACTTGAGTTGTTGATTATCATACGGCAAAGAAAAATGAGGTTTAAATCATATGCTACACAAACTGTTTATTGTAACAGACCCTTTAACACTCCCAGTCTGTTTCACTCCTGAGGTCTCCCTGCTTAGACTTTCTGCTCCAATGAGCAGGAGTTTGCCTGTTTTGCTGCTCATGAAACCTTTATCCATATTTAATTTAGCTTTGTGGGACAGAGCCTGCCTCTCCCTGTGTTCAGTAAAGGTTCCTGAGTCCTTTCTTGTCTTGTGCACTTCTGGCTTTTCAAGGAAAGGGAAGGAAAGCATAGACGGTGACCGTCAGGGAACGTGGGGTTGCTGGTGCAGCTCTTCACTGCCTTCTTGTAAATAGGTTTGTCAAAGGACAAAAGTAAATAAATATTCACACATGTTGATTTATGTGTGTGCTTGTATAAGTATTTCTATATTGAAAAACCCTAGTTCTCTTAATTCATTACTCATAAGACTGTAAAGCTGAGGTGGTCACAGATTGCCAGTGAAAAGTCTCATCCACAGGGAGTTTCATTCTGTATTTTTAGTAATAAGGAATCCAGCTGTTGAGGAGGTTGGTTGATGCGCATGGCAGCAGCCTGTGTTGTCTACAGGGCCTCTAGCACTGCCTAAATCCTGTGACTGGCCTGTCTGTACTGACTGAGCTTGCACACCCTCGCTGGTCAAGGAATCCCCATAATGTGTCAGACCAGCCTGTGCGGGTTGGTGTGTGGAGCACGTCCGCCCTCAGTGGCGGTGGAGCTGCTGTGAGGATGGAGGAACCGAGGAACACTTCCCTGCTATGGAGAACAAGCGCTTGTACTGACTGGATTTAAAAATAAGCATAAAAGTATTGTTTCACATGTTAAAAGCACTACAAAGTAAGTCTAGTTAATTTTTGTGGATTTGTTTTGTCTTGCTTGAGTTGAAATTCCCAACCCCTTTCCTCCCCACTTTCCAGTAACTGGTTTGTGGTTGAAAACACAGAATGTTCTATTGAGAGCCACGCTTTTCCATGTTATTCACTAAGTCAACTGCAGGTTCCATAAGAAAATAAATTTTCCTAGAACATATTTGAGTTTTCCTGCAAATATTTAGCTCAAAAATCAGTAACTCCTCTGTCTTCCTGCTGTCAGGATGCACGTGTGTGTGAATGTTCGGTGTGCTCTGAACTGGGGTCCTGCTCAGCTCTTCTTGCTAGAATACCCTAAATTTACCATGCATGGGCCAAATCCAGCCTTATTCATATGAGAGCCCAACAGGGAGTGCTGCAGCTTGGGGCCTGCTGAAACAGAGCAGAGTTTTGTATTTTAGGGTCACTTTGAGGCCTGTGGAAGGTTTTTGTGTCAGTTTGACAATCAGCACTCATTGCTGAATCTGTGCCTCAAAACTTAGGCGTGGCATGGGACATATATGAAAGTTTATTAGCTGTATATTCAGCAACTCTGCTCCAGTGTGTGTAGCCTGAAGGCAACACAGGGAGGAAATCCAAGTTGTTCACTTCATTGCTGCGAAAGATCTAACAGATAATTTGGCAATGCCAGGAAGTCTGACGGGAAGAATTGTTCTTGTCAGCCCATGCTAATGACTAATTGTATCAAAATCGTTTGTGAACTTCTGTTTGACCTGGAGGTAACTTCCTGAATGGGTATATTTTGCCAAAAGTACGTGTTTCAACCTGTTTTCTGACTATACCTGTAATCCATACCTTGTTTTTTTTAGAAGGCTTTATAAGTACATGGAGAACTACAGCTGGTCTCATGAAAAACAGGCAATTTTTGACATGGAATTTAAGTATCCTCTCGCTCCCCAGCCATGCCTCTTCTTTGCTGATATATGTTGAAAAGATGTGCATGGTGTAATGCAAACCATAACCTGTCCAGCTAAAAGGATTCCATTCAAATCCTTTTAACTTTAGGGAATGAAAATATTCACACATGATGCTTGGCTTCCCCCGTTTTTTAGTCACTCCTGGGTGCTTTGCTGTAAATGGGCTGTTTCTGCTGGGGTTCCTGCGTTCAGGAGCGTTCACCCATGGGTGTATGAGCGTGCTGGCACAGGAGATGGGACAACCTGTTCCAGCACAGGTAGGAGCACACCCAGGCCATGCTCACCTACGCACTGCCATAAGCCAGCAACAAACTCCTCTGCTCTTTGGTTCCTCTGAGGCGCT